AAGGGATTAGCCGATATGGTCTGGGGGCCGGCTGGTCTCTCCCCTGATGCTTCGGCTAGAACATTTTCTTGCGTAATTCGTGCACCCAAGGGCAGAAGGATTTAATCGCCGTCAGGTCCGAAGTCCATACGACGCCTCAGCTCTGCGGATGTCTAGGGGGTATGGCAAAGTGGAATCGATTTTTGCTTTTTGATTTCTGATGGATGTGAGTTCGAATCTCACCCTATTCAGATATTTTTTTCATTGTTCATTCTTTTTTTTTTTTATCCCTGGTAATCTTTTTAGAGTGAACTACTATTCATGATTGCTTATTTACACCAGCTTAACATCAAAAGTCAAACAATTGCAATCCGAAAAATGGAGCTGTTCTTTGACTGGTTTGAAATGCTTCATAGGGACAGTTAACTGACAAGACTTTTTAGAGTGAAGTCATTAAACCCGCGAAATAGATATTAGACTAATACACTTTAGTAGACCCTAATTCCATTGTCTTCTTTTGGTCTATTTGACTATTACACGTCGACTAGTAATTTTTATTTCACGGGTTTAATGGCTTCACTCTATTCCACATGGTTTCTCTAATATTTTTTCTCTATATTGGTATTATTTCCTTTGATATGTAACTGCATGGGTTTACTGTCTACCCAATAGGGTGTTTTCCAGCCTCCGCGCGACAAATACGCCAGGTCAACCGGCAAAATGGCGGCAATATAGATTTATAAAGCATAAATAGACATCCCATTCATTCCTTCACAAACTTCACTTACCTTTATACGGTGGTATTTGTTCAGCACTACACCCATAGACTTCAGCGCGCATGACCTTCAGAGAGGCAGCCGCTGTTGGAATAATTCGAAGATACCGGCAAACGAATGGGGCAGCAAGTTTTGAAATGATTGGACGTTTTGCTTCGTAACTGTCTTTAGGTCCCTTTATTTCCTGTGTTTATAACAATAACAACAAAATATAGATGTAAATTCAAATACTCCAGTTTCGAGTTCTCTGTTGCTCAGGCAGTTAGCCTCAATTTTGTGCAGAATATTCGCGTGTTCTAGTTAAGGTCCGTGGAAATGCAAAGTGTTTGTTTTGTTGAAGTTTTGCATTCTTCACTTTACCAATGGTATTTGTGAATATGTCAATACTGATTCGAGGCTAACCCTCGATAAAAGTATAGCACGTATTGGTAGTGCGTGTGGAGTACCAACCTGGCGAAAGAACCCTAACGTGAAATGATGGTTGAAACAATTAGTTTTTTTATTAGTTTTTTAATATATGTTTTAGAAGTCAAAATAATTTCAAAAGAGTAATCGTCTTACCTCTTCGACTCCGTTAACTTCATACCAGAACCAGTCAATACTGTTGTTGCTGTACTTTAGCTTAAACCCGCTGACATAATACGGTACATCATGGCCACCTTGAGACGCTATTCTCGTCACCCTTCGTAACGACCCAAAATCGATCTGTAGATAGTCCAGCACCCCCAAAGCCGCCTGCCACCCGTTGGGATATTTTGTTACCTTCTTATTAAGACGAATGTCTACCGGGTGAGAGGCGTAGATTGAGGCGTTGGTACTTTGTGTCAGCGCTTCGTCGGGAATATCTCCTGACTCCAGACCGAGTGGTTCGATGCACGTCACTATTAAATAAAATGAAGTGGTTATCGAATAAGTTGGAAACGTGCGGTACTGACTTACTGCAGCACGTACACTGTACGACATGCCGTAACATTGAAATGGCTTCCCATAAGAATGGTTATTTTATTAGTGGGAAACGTACGGTACTGACTTACAGCACGTACTTGGTACGACATGACGTAATATTGAAATGACTTTCCAAAAGAATGGTTATCGTATGAGTGGGAAACATATACAGTGGCTGACTTACAACACGTAAACGGTACGACATGCCGTAACAATGAATTGGCTTCCCATAAGAATGGTTTTCGTATGAGTGGGAAACATACGGTACTCACTTACAGCATGTACACGGTACGACATGCCGTAACATTGAACTATGACTTCCCATAAGAATGGTTATTATATGAGTGGGAAACGTAAGGTACTGACTTAGTCAGCCCGTACTTGGTACGACATGCCGTAACATTGAAATGGCTTCCTATAAGAATGGTTATCGTATGAGTGAAATGGCGTCTCATCGTCATCGTCTTAATCATTCAATCACCTCACATAGTTGCAGTTGCAGTACACCCACCCCCTGAAACACCCTTGATCAATGTTACATTACAATACATACATGGCGAGCCAATAATTCTACATCCATAGAGCTCAAAGCGCATGCAGATCAACTTCTCCCAGGCCAGCGGTCTTATTCGTAAACTGTACACTTCTATTGGATCGTGAAGCCAATACGACTTGGGTGTGAAGCGATCTTGATTCGCTTGGTAAACCTAGAGAATGTAACATCGAGATATCGAATGAGATATTTGCAAAAGCTGTAATTCATTTCAAAAGCATGTTTCCTATTGGAGTTTCTACGCATATATAGTGCGTAACGTGTGTGTTTTCAAGTTCAGTATTAATTATGTATTGCGCACGAGATAAAAAGGTCTAGTAGCCGTTCCAAAGGTGAGTATGCATCTGGGTCGATTGCATTATGGGACCATTTTAGGACGGCTGGCACTCGTTCGCACGCTTCAAAAGGACGGTTAGCATGAACAAGTGCACACGCTTCAAAAGGACGGTTAGCAAGTACTAGTTCATACGCTTCAAAAGGACGGTTAGCATGAACTAGTTCATACGCTTCAAAAGGACGGTTAGTATGAACTAGTTCACACGCTTCAAAAGGACGGTTAGTACTAGTTCACACGCTTCAAAAGGACGGTTAGCAAGAACTAGTTCA